TATTGAAAATTGAATGTGAGTGCTTTGTATTTATTAAAGTTCACACATTTCATATTCCAGTTATATTGGAAGAGTTATTTTATAAAATATGTGGTAATCATGACATGAAAAGTCTTGGTAACATACTGTACTGATTTTAAATTATGGTTTTCTTGTAATTTTTATTTATTTGAAGATATAGTGATTAAAAAATTGAAAGGTAGTATGTACACATTTTCTGCCTTGAGATTGTTGTTTTCATTCATGTGGGGCTGATTAAATGCTAGCACATTTCAGTTATAGTTTCACCTACTGCTCAAAATAATTTTATTGACTTCAAAATAATCTGTTTTCTTATTTTTGAATATAGATTAATCTTATTCTCTATTAAATGATCTAAATCTTTTCTTGTTACTGTGCCTCTTGTCTTAAAATATTTGTTCATGAGGTCAGTAACCAAGGTGTCAATATTTCTGACTTGCTGAGTCACCACAGACTATAAAATGATCATGAAATCACAGTAATTTATCTGTTGTATATTCATACATTTATGAAGATGTTATTAAAATAGTAATATAGTGACTCTTTTAAGGTAAGTGGCAGAAAATATGAACTGCTGTTCTTAATGTAAATAAATTCAAAGTGGAAAACCCTGAGGAAACTAGGTGCTGCTGAGAAATATACTCCACGATATGCTTTTATATATGCCAGTTATAGTATTTGTATTTGTATTTTTAAAATAGAGTATATCCAAGAAATATTTTTGTCATTTTAATGAAAAAATATTTAGGATTATTTACCTCAACTGCTTGGTGCTCCTCAACTTTTGATTTTAAATCCTAGAAATGTCATTGAGAGTTGGGAAGACTCACCTAATATACATTAAAGCCCTCCAGGTAGAACAGTGATGGGATCTGTGAGGTTATAAATGAATGCAAATGTTCTGTTTTGGAGACAGAAATTCTTAATTAGATTGAAGGTATGGTTTAAGATTTTGCTCACCCTCTCTAACCATTTAAAACTATCAGTAATGCATTGTTCAAATCCAAATCTTATTTTATGTTAAATTTACTCAGGATCAAAACCATTCAAGTGCAAGATATGCCATTTTGCAACAGCTCAGCTTGGAGATGCCAGAAACCACGTGAAAAGGCACCTTGGGATGAGGGAGTACAAGTGTCACGTCTGTGGGTGAGTGAACTGAAGCCATCTCTGCTGTGTGAACCAGGAACCGTGTGCGGGTTATCCATTGTTTCAGAACTCAAAACTGATATGAGTAAGAGTGGCGAAAATTATGCGTGCGTACCCTCCTTTCCTTTGTTATGGTAAATTCCTTAAATACAGTTATGACATTCTTCCCCCACTTCTAATCCTGTGCTGAAGATGAGCAATTTTATGGGCTACAAGGTCAATTTGAACCTGTAATCTGTAAATTGACTAAATTATAGGATGTTCATTCACATTGCCAGAGAGAACTATAAATTCCATTTAAAGACATAAAAAATAGATAATATAGCTTTAGGAGTGTATATGTATTTTTTTTTCCTCTTGCTGTACTTCCTTAATTTTAATTACATTAGTGGCTCTTTGGATCTATTGGACATATTCCGTAAGAAAAATAAAACACCACAAGATTTAATTTCAGATGCCTGGTTACTGATTGTTTGAGAGATGATGTAATAACAACAGTACATAATAGATTTTTGTATAGCATGATTTCAAAACTAGTTTCCCTTTTTAGCTAGTGGTTCTTTGCAGATTCATTTGTGATGTTTAGAATGTTTAGTTGTCATTCAGGTTCGTTGCATTTAATAGAAAACTAATTAATTTAGCAGAAATGTTTAAAATGTTTTAAAATGCTGTGACATAAATGGTATATCGCAGGACATTCAGAGGTAGATTTTAATACTCCACTTCTTATTAAAATATATTTTAATGTTATTATGCTAGAAAAATTAATAAGTATATCATATAAAAACACTTTATGAGAAACCTAAGAAATCTGCAGTTCACAGGTCCAATTAAATTACACAATATGCACATGTTATATTATGCTTATGTAGGAGATTCTTCAGGTTGACAGACACACATATAAATATCCTTCAAGTCAGGATCAGTTCTGTTTTTTGGTGGACAGTACATTTTCCCAGTATGTAGTTGCATTTTTCAACCCTTAAGATAGTTTTACAAATAACTTTGCAAGCAGTTTTATTAACTGTGGTCTGTGATTTATTTATTGGCTGAATTGATGGTTCAGTGACTTGCAGCTAAAGTAAATGAAGATGAACCTTTGCCCTGAAGCCCCCTCAAGATCAGTGGGAGGATGAGTTTTGTTACTACTGATTTCAGCTGCAGGGGTCAAGTATCAAATGGTTCATTTTAATTGCTTTAGGTCTTGTATTTTAAAAGATTCCTCATTTATTGTTTTAATACTTTGAGTTATAGGAGAAGATGGTCTTGACACCAATGAAAATGTACTGTTAAATGACAGTAACAGTTTCTTTCCCATTTGTGAGAAATAAGTAAAAAAAATTTTTGTATATTCCGTTAGTTGCAGTCTAATTCCATTCATATTTTTTTAAAAAATGAGGGTTACTGTGACCTTGGAAAGAGAAAAAGAAACTTTTTCAGAGAAGTATTTCTTACATATATGGTATCAGAAACAATTTATAATTAATTGGTTTTAATTGTATAATTTGAACAGTATGCCCTTTGCTTTGCTAATTGCTTTCTATATAAAGATGGAATGCTGTTCTAGTAGTTTAGGTATTTGATTACCAAGATGCAGAGGTATAAGTAAAAATGCAAGTATTGAGTTTTATGTCACTGCCATAAAGAGCTACTTTATGTGTGTGTGTGTGTGTGTGTGTGTGTGTGTGTGTGTGTGTGTGTGTATGTGCACGAGAAGGGTATGTCAAAAAACATTCTAGATTCCAGGATTTATCTTTTCGAATTATGGTAGCTTTTAAATTTCATTTCCCTGTAAGATGATACTTCTCTTTTTATAAATGAAATCCACTTTGAAAATTACATGACAATGATTTTAACAGGGTAGATGTTCTTACAGAAAAGTTAACAGTTCTGAAGGATTTCAGTAAATTGAAGAATGTTGATCTATATAGTTGAAACAGAACTGTAATGAATTAGGTAATACAGTGCTAAAGGAAAAGTACCCTAGGTTCTGTATTTCATGTGTTTCATAGGTATGGGAGAGTAACATAAAAATTAAAATAGAAAACAAAACAAACAAAGCAAAAATACAGGGATTGGTTCTCAGTACTGGCACCGGAGAGCATTGGTACATTAACATTGCTGACAATGTCAATTCATTATCACTGATGGCTAAATCATCGCAGAAATGCTCAGTGGACCTATTAGTTCCTGAACATAAGCAGCCTATGCTGCATTTCTTCATTAGCTTTAATTGCTATAAATTTTACCTTTTACAAAATCATGCTTTAAAAGGTGACGTGATCTTTCAGGAACATTAACTCTATAATTTTGTCACAAACAGAAGGTCTTGCACTATGTTTTCTTTTCTCCAGTAGTTAATGTCTTAGTCTCAGTCTTTTAGAATTTTATTAATGACCTCTTTATTATCTAGTTATAAGTAGTTATTTCTCAAGTGGTCCTGATTGAATAGTATGTGAAATAGCAGGGTAGGCACATTTTTAAAGTGACTATTACTCACAAAAGTGAACTTTTTTTCTTTTTTTCAGTAACCTCATAGTTTTCTTGAAGAAACTGCTCATATTTAATGATGGAATTTATGGATATGGCAATATGTTCTTTTTCTTGTCTTTAAGTATAAAGACCGTAGGTCACATGAACTATGTGTCTTACGATTTTCACTGACTTAGCTTTAGAATTCTTTACTGTCAACTCCAGTGTTAAAAATTGCCTTTAAAACTGTTATATAAGTTGTCTGACTTACGTTGATCAACTTGAAGGTGATGTCTTCCCTATCTCCTCCTGGCAAATCTCGGCCACAGTGTAGCCTGGATTTAAATTGACTTGACAGAAGAAGCTGCGTGTGTTTGGAGTCTAATTCCTATTGTCTGTTTAGGATTTGGAATTTAAGATTTAAGTTCTGGTTGAGCAAGATTTATCTTATTGTGTTATGGTGGACATTTCAAAAACCTGTTGGTTGACACTTCATGTTCTATGTACATCTTGTAAATAGCATTTAAGAACTGTTTTTCTAGGAGTAACAGAGGTCTGTTTTGGTTGGTTGGTTGGCTTTTTGACTAGAAGAGTTTTTTAATGTTTTACTTACATCTAAGTATGATTGAGAGAATTTTTCTATAACATAGTGATATTTATATTTAGGCTCCTGATGTACGATTAACATGAGCATCTGCTATGGGGTGTGATGCAGAGCTTAGTGAGAGTAAGGGTAAATAATGGGAAAGAGCCTCTGTGAAGGCTAAGAGTTTTACTTCATAATTTTTATTTAAGAATAGGACAGACACATCTTTTTCTTAAGTTCATGATCATCTATCTTTATTCTTTCAGTTGCATAAAAACTCTGAAAAATCTCAATAACCAAAAAAAGTGTTTAGAACACATGACTTGTTAATTCTTTTAAATTCTGTGTGTGTAGCTCAGTGATAGAGCTTTTGGACTCAGTATTACACACACACACACACACACACACACACAGTCAGTTGTGTGTGTGTAAGCCAGTGTGCATTAATATTTATGCAGTGCTTGATAGAAAGAGCCATGTCTAATGTTCATCTCACTTGCTGATTTTGATTGATTTTATTCTTTAGTTAATGTTTGTTAGTGTTAGCCCCATTTACAGATGGGAGACTTGAGGTTCCAAGTGATAGCGTGAGATAACTTGAACTCTGCAGCTGGTTCTGCTGGTTCACTGCTCTTCTTCCTCATTATCCCTTAACATTTTTTTTTTTCCAGCTTTTTGTTGTTTGTGTCTTTTACCCACTTTTATTTTTTTTCGGTCTTTTTTTTTTGATACAGGGTCTCCCTGTAGCCCCAGCTGTCCTGGAAACTCACTATGTAGACCAGGCTGGCCTTGAACTCACAGAGATCCACCTGCCTCTGCCTCCCGAGTGCTGGGATTAAAGGCATGTGCCACCACAACTTGTACTCATTTTTTTTACTCTGTTTTCTAGCACTTAATAAGTATAATATCTGCTTCCTCCCACTAGTCACATTTATTTTCTGTTTTTGTTCAAATTTACGTTCTTATGAAAGAATGCTTATCCAGTCTTAGTTTATATTCTGGCATTTAAGCCTCACTCTCTGTCTTTGTTTCATCCTCCCTACTCTAAGTCTTACTGTAAGTGATGTTACTATTTTCCCCCACTCTTCTTTTTTTTTTTTTTCAGTCTTTTGATACAGGGTCTTCCTGTAGCCTCAGCTGGCCTGGAGTGCACTATATAGATCAGAGTAGTCTTGAACTCTCAGAGATCAAACTGCCATTGCCTCCCGAGTGCTGGGATTGAAGGCATGCACCACCACGCCTGGCTTCCCCCACTCTTCATATGTTTATCATTGATTGTATTCACCTGAATGGTTGACCGCTTCCGTGTAATGGGAAAAAGTGCCTAAAACCGGTAACAGGTAAAACTGATGTACCTAGGTTATTGTTTTATCTTTCAGTACTAATTATCTTGAAATAATTATAGCAAACTTACAGCGGGCCTGTGATTTCCATAAACCCAAGAAATGATACCTAAGTTTTGTATGTCATTTTTCAGAAGCATAAACCCCAATACATGAGAATTAGGGATCATGATATTTACTGGTGGATTTCCCTGTGTCTAGTCTTGATTCATATGTATGGAGCTAAATAGTTGAATAGGATTTTCCTGATCAGGCTAGAATAAGAGCATTTTCTAAATCTTTCACTTCTGAGTTTATGAGAAGATTCCAGATAAATTTAAATTGTGCATTACTGTGCTTAGGAAATGTTTATTTCTAGTTGGTATAGGAAATCTTAAATAGAAAGTTACTAATTCAGTAAAACACTGTCTCTGTCGCTCTGTCTTTGTCAGTCTCTCTCTCTCTCTCTCTCTCTCTCTCTCTCTCTCTCTGTGTGTGTGTGGCATTACCTAGTTTTTGTGCATTAGAAGGGATCTTTATGTAGATGATTATAATGTCACTTTCTGACCTTTGCAGCTTGAATAATTGTAAATCATTGCTTCATAACGTGTCAGAGAATG